GTGAAATGTATAGAAATTTATTTCACGCAGACGCCACATGTTCTGGGTAGATGATATGCGGCAACCGGCATACAAATACGACCAGCAAAAGCCGCAAAAAACATACGGATACTTTAGATATAACAAAAAAAAAAAAACAGCACATTGTTGACTGAATAGCTTTATAGTCGTAGGACATACATACATACATATATGAGCTGGCTGAAAGGCTCGTCCGTGTTTAGCTTCCGCCTCTTTATCAGGCCGGTGGAGTGTCGCTAAGATTACTCACAAGTATGTATGTATGTACATTAGACCGTATCGGAGAAAAAGTGCGCCGTTTAAAGGGAAGGCAATTTGGAATAAACAAATTTCTTTTTCATCATATCTTCCACATTTACAGTGGGATGTTAAAATGTGAAACATTGTTTTACCTCAAGCACCACGCTTTTTTAGTGTGCTTGCCCACCAGACTTAAGTTTTCATCACCATAACGTTGCAGTAAATTAAAACTCAATAAAAATCATTAAACTTTTGCTAAGTACTTAAATATTTTGATTATGCTAGTAGAATTATAAAAAAAAAACTGGCCGAATGCACATACAGTGGTCGAAAAAATTATAGCCGCAACACAATATTGACAAGTGTCCACAATTTATTTTATTTTTTTTTAATTTTTGTTATTTTTTTTATAAAAAAAAGTTGATTATGTAACGAAAAAAAAAAAACTAAAATCCAAGTATAAAACTTTGTGTATCTAAAAAAATCAATAAAGTTCCATAAAAATTTCGAGCTTTTTAATAAGATTTCTTAGAAAGATTTTGAGTATCAAGTTTTTTGTCTCATTCAATTCTAGTAAATAACTAAGTGTAAGTTTCAAATGGCTTAAAATTACCGTTGATTTTTAAGATTTTTTTTTTGTCGAAGTTGCTACGGTTTTCTTCCATACAAAAATAAATTGTATGGAAACAAATGCGAAAACAAAAAATTCTAAAAAATCTATACTTTTTAATTTTAAATCTTTCTAAGAAACCTATTTAAACAGCTCGGTGCCAGCGAGAAATGTAAGAAGGTGATTCCCAAGTTTGGCAAACATTTTTTTTTTTTCGAAATTGCATTGCAAAAGTATGTATGTATGTTTGAATGTACGAAGAAAAATGACGGCCTCCCACTGCTAATGCGCAATGAGGCATAGGAATATGGGAAAATATATGTATGTAGTAAGCACGCAAATACGCATCATTATAACGTAAAAGTGTAAAAACAAATAAAAAAAAAACGCCAACATTGTTTGTAAACAAAGTCTTAAAAGGGCTTAAGTATGCAATGGACTAAAAAGGGAAAACAAAAAAAAAGAGGTTGAAGTACAAACCAATAAATAGTTTTCGCAAAAACAAAAAAAAAAAAAAAATACCCTGCAAACGCAAGCTTTCACAATGCCAACAATTTGACGAAGTATCTACTACAATTTGTTTACCGTCCGAGTGTTGCCTGCCCGTTGAAAAGGCATGGAAAGTTTTCTGGGCATTCAAAAGAATTATCAAAATTTACAGCCATCAGCACAACCAGCAGGCAGTGAAATCATTGCAAGTAAAGAAGGTGGCTTGTTCCAAGAGGCCTATAAGTATGGTTAAGTGAGTTACATATGTATGCACATTCATATATGGACTGGGTCTTCTCAACTGTTGCTTGCTTTGAGAGCAAATATTTAATGCATCACGTTGCTTCAGTGCCAAGCCATGTAAACGAGTCAGTGGAAAATTACTACTGTTAGCCGGCGACGAAGATACTGGCGCGGCAGCGGTGGGTGGTGTGGCGTTGGGAATAGAGCAACACAGCCCCAGAGATAATTACAATTAGTAAGTGCGCTGTAAATGCGCATTTTGTGTTGACTTACTTGGCAGACAACTACTTAGCTTGGCTAAAAAG